CTGTACCGTGAGTTGGCGGGCAGATAGGTCTGGGACAGGGACTTGTTGAAGCTGCCCCATTCGCAGATGGCGTCGGGAATGTCATAGTCGGCATAGTAACTGCTACGGTAGTACCACTCGGGCGAGCAGTCATCGGTGTTGGCGTCAGGCACCCAGGTATCGCCCGCTGACGGTGAGATGACCAGGGAGATCTTCTGCGCCGGGGTGCCGACCGAGACGTCGACGACGTATGCGAACTCGGCTGACCGGAGCGGGATCTGCTCCGAGGCAGCGCGGCCCGACAGCTGAAGGTGTTCGCTGCGGTGGGAGAAGGGTAGAAGCACATGGGCAGCCGCAGCGGTGGCCCCTAGGGCGCAGAGGGCGAGTTTGGACAAGCGAGTGTGGAGCGCCATGTCGTGCGACAGTGGGCGCAAAAAACGAGGGTATTGGTCGAATGGATAAGAGAGTGTGGATGGTCTATGTCGACATGGCGGTCTGAGATCACCAGACGAAAAGAGTGACGACGTCGCGAGAATGGAAACACGAGGAGGGAGGAGAAAGAACTGGAGTCACTCGACGATATCCGTATTTTCGTTTGCTCCTCTTGGTGCCTGGACCTTTTGTCTTTCTGCCAAGAGGCACTCAGCCATGGGGAGCGTCGACGATGGGCTAGCCCAGTAATTACAGGGGTTTCCCGAAATTGGGTCCAGGGCCGCCGGCCAAGCCCCCGCTGGCGCGCGATCTCCGGGCGGGCCCACGAGCCACGAGGAACCAGAAAAAGAGTTGCATGGGAAGGGCAACGGAATAACAATTTGTACGATGGAAAGATAAACGAGGAAAAGGGCTAGGCAGACGAGAGCGGAAGAGATGGGACTGATCTCTTTGTGGTTTTGCTCGTGTTGCAAAAGGAAAAGGGGAGACCGTCCTGACTAGGCGCTGGAATTGGATTGTTATGCGGGGAACTTGTGTTCAAGTGAGCTGTGCTATCCAGTTTCAAATCGGGGAGGGCCTTGGCACACCCCCCCCCCTGTAAGAAACATCCTTCGAAGTACACCCTAACAATTTCAACAAGGTGGTACGTGCGCCCGTTAGATCAACGCTTTATTTTACAATTTAATCTATTGAATTGCATTGTATTATTTGCTTGGCACTATAAGTGCATTATACAAGAGCATTTGCAGTTTTTTTGCCTGAATGCACGACTTTCTAAACCTTCTTTACGTGCAATATGCAAGTAAATCTTCGCTCGTGTGCGAAAATCTTTAGCATGTGCAAAAATCTTACCCCTGTTGGTACAACTTTAGGTTGTATATGGCCTGTGCAGTGGGTGTGTGGAGCTCCGAAATCTGGCACTGGATGCCGGAGACCCTTCAAGTAGGGGGCGGACGGCCCTGAACTCTCGGCTGGATAACGGTTCCGGATATTAGTTAACGGCCCCGCTGTGTTGGCCCATGCGCCTCTGCCCTGTCCCGCCTAGTCCCGCCAAGTCCGAACCCCACGGATGCCCCACGTCTCCGTCCCAACCCCGCGATTCCTCGCCCAACTCCCGACATCGCGTCTTGACCGCGAGCTAGGATCTAGCTCCTGAAGGCACAATGCAGTCCGGTATCTCAGGTGGGCGCCTCGATCCTGGGTTGCAGATATCGCCGCTGACAGTCGCCTGTTTCTGGCCACAGCTTCGCAGGAGCTGGTCGCCCGCTTCAACGACCTCCTTGGCTCCGACACCCACTTCGGGCTTCTGGCCACCATCTCGTCCGAGCAGCTGCGGCCGCTACAGCTACTGACACCGTCGTCCCCCAGCGGCGCCTTCGCCTCCAACGTCGAGTCCCTACTGCAGCCGCACATCAAGCCCGATGAGGCGCTCTACATCATCCTGCGGCGCTACACGTCCGCCCCGGCCCTGGTGGCTGTGACCTACGTGCCCGACACCGCCCCGGTGCGCCAGAAGATGCTGTTTGCCGCCACACGCCTGACACTGGTGCGCGAGCTGGGGAGCGAGCACTTCCGCGAGACCCTGTTTGCGACCGCTGCCCACGAGCTCACCCCTGCCGGCTTCGAGAAACACGACGCCCACACCGCCATGGAGGCGCCGCTCACCGAGGAGGAGAGGAGTCTGGGCGAGGTGCGGCGGGCCGAGCAGGAAGCTGGCATGGGCACCGGCACGCGCGAGATCCATCTGAGCAAGCACATGGCCACGCCCATCGCCGAGGCCGCGCTTGACGCCCTGAAGGAACTGGCCGCTGGGGACCGGAGATCGTTGGTCATGCTGGTGCGTGTCCCTGTCCGCCACACTCTGGGCCGCAAATACTGACGCATTCGCGGCTACCTCAGAAAATCAACCCTAAGTCCGAATCTGTCGAGCTTGTCCCTGACGGAGCAACGCCCTCCTCCATCTCCGAACTGGTGCAGACCATCTCGCCCACCGAGCCACGCTTCACCTTCTATAGATTCACACACTCGCACAGCGGTGCCGAGTCCAGCCCCCTGCTGTTCTTGTACACGTGCCCCACCAACTTCAGCACCAAGGCCATCAAGTTCCGCATGATGTACCCGCTGATGAAGAGGGCCGTGCTGAGCATTGCCGAGAAGGAGGCTGGCCTGCAGCCCGAGAGGAAATTCGAGGTCGAGGATCCCAGCGAGGTTACCGAACAGGTCGTCCTAGAGGAGCTGTACCCCAAGGTCGAGGTGAAGAAGGCCTTCCACCGACCCAAGCGCCCTGGTCGCTGATGACTGGAGGATTCAATGTTATGGCACGGATAAATGGCACTTGGACATGATGTAAAGTGCTAAATGGTGGCATAGGACCCTTATGACATCAATTGACGGGCATCACCTCCTCTGCTGCCAGTGATAGGTTTCCGTCGACGAATGGCGACACGGGTATGGAGACAAAGAGCAACTAACAACACCGCGCCAGGGCGCCATGAGCCGGCCTCGGCATTGTTCCGGAATTGTTAAAGTCGCCCCAACAATGAACGTTTGAACGCGGCAGTGTTTCACTCCGGTGTTTCTTTCTCGACACTCGATGAGCGAGATGAAACAATGCCATTGTTCAGTGGGTAGATGCTCGCCCCAGCCATCAACATGTTGGTATATAAACAACAGTTCAACGTTCCATACCCACCACCTTCCATATACACCAGTCCCCAGTGGCCAGCGCTTAGCAGAGACCTTCACCAACGCAATGTACGCTCACCTCTTCAAGGATGGCACCGACAACTACCTGTTCATCAGGCATCTCGGCGCCGGGGTGTCGTGCCACACCCAGCTGGTACGTCACCTTGAGTCTGGCCAGGTGCGTGTCCGGAAGGTTCTCCATCGCCGACTACCTCTTGGTCATGGAATGGTGGGGCCAACCCGCATAGGAAGAGGGGGAGAAACAGGACCAGACGACCAGTTCACAAACGATGCCGGGATAGCCAACATACTGGCTCGTCATGCGTTGAACGGGGCCATCATCCTTCGGGTGCCCGCCGTCTTGTCGGACGCGACCATCCCGGGCCCGGACTCGGGCAAAACCAGCAGGGTCTCGTACTGGAGCTTCTGTAACGGCGGCAACGTCGGCGACTTTGCTCAAGAGTGCCGGGAGAGCGGAGCCGTGGTGCCCCAGGGCCTCGTTCTCCGCTTTCTCCGCCAAGTGCTCGAAACACTTCACTTCATGTACACCGGCCTCCCCCATCCCCTCATCCACGGCGACCTCAACTCGGGCAACATCCTACTTCACCTGACACCAGGCAATGCCGCCCCCGATTTCCACGTCATGGACTTTGGCACCGCCACCTGGGGCCAGCACATCAACAGCCTCCAGGACATTCCCCGTTCCGACCTCGACGACATCATGCGGATCCTTGTTGGGGAGCTGATGGAGCTCACGCTGGACCGCGACCAACGAGGGGTAGCTGCCGGCATTCTCTCCATCGAATACATGCTCAACCACGACACGACCAACCCCATCTGCGTCGCCTACCAGATGCTCGCGCGGCTGGACCACAAGTTCCGGGTCCGCCTGGCCCACTACAGGACGGCGCCGTCCGGAGAGCTGGCCCTCCCCGATCTGACAGAGGTCCTGCGGTATGTTACCGACCAGTCCGTGCTCTCGCTGCCGCAGCTGATTCTGGACTTGGAAGGCCGCAACAACGCCATCCACGGAATCTTCCGCCGGCGCATCGACGAGGCGAACAACCCCCCGCCGAAGCTGTATCCGACCATGTCTGGCATACTGCAGGCGCGCAACGTGCCCGGGCCGTGGCATGCCGCGCGTGTGAAGGCGTCGGGGGAACTGGTGAGTGTGGATAGGGAGAGCCACCATCGGCCGAATGAGGACAATGCGGGATATGAGACGGACGGCAATTGGTGTGACGAGGACTCGGAGGCGGAGACGTTGGAGTTGTACTGAGATGGAGTGTGTTCTCTTTTTTTGAGGTAAGTAAACACTTATTATGTCTATGCTTACCTATATCTCTCCAATACTAGCATTGGCCATGTAAATGTGACCGTGTAAGTGTGGCCGTGTAAGTCTGCCCGTAATGTTTGTGATGGTGTTTCCCTTCCTGCTCATCCCCGTTCTGTTCAACCGAATTAGTCCGAATATTGTCCAACTGATCTCTGCCAGGCCGGATAATCACTTGTGGCAGCAACCCATCGGGGCCCTCGTTCGCCTCCTGCTCGGCCAACAGCTTCAGCACCACGCGCTTGTTACCAGCACAAACAAGGGAAAACTAAAGGGGGAAAGGGTTGCTGCTACCTGGAACTGCCTGGAAATCCCAGGGGTATGTATGTATGCATGTGCCCACAACCACGACGGCGTCACCATTTTGACTCGGAAACTAGCGACGTCTTTCCTCGATGCAGTGATGAGAGGATGATGACTGCGCAGCAAACCCCTGTCTGTTTACTCCAAGTGTCTGGACAAGCCACCCAGGGCTGCGGAGGCTATCTACACCTTCTTGGCACAAGGTCCTCGAGGGTCAGGGGGTCCAAAGACGCAAAAAGAGTGTGGACACGTCCAAAACATCAAAAGACTCTCCCGCCGGGAATTGAACCCGGGTCTCGAGCGTTATCCTGTCGGTATACGATGACAAGCTCACATACTGACCACTATACTACGGAAGATTAACAGATGTTGACATCTGTAGTAGCTGTTGGCCGGTGGAGATGGTGATCCGAGACTAGGTCTATACCTGCATGCAGTACTGTTTAAAAGAAGGTACATTGGAAAGACATTAGCTATCTAGGGACAAGATATAACTTGAATTAGTTACAAGGGCAGAGAAACACTAAAAGAACTATAAAATCCTAACAACAACGATAAGTTTACGGAAGGGTAGAAAAAATAAAACCTCCAAAAAGCTCACCGACTAACCCATCCCCCCGCCCGATGGCGGGGAGTGAGGTAGATCGGCTACGAAAACCCTCCTGCTGGGATCCCACCGTCGTCACGGTTCTGGGGATCGGGCAAAGAAGGGTTTTACTTCGGGCTCGAACCGGCGACCTTCAAGCGGGCAGAAGGTCACGGTGCCGGGAGCAGGGCCGGCACTCCCCCCGCTACACCACAGCAATGGCTGGGTGAATTTGCGGGGGGAGCTGGTGAGAGGAGGACGCAAGCGGCGGTATTTATGGTGCGCGACGGCCAATGGGTGGTTTGTGGGGTGGGGAACGGTCGTGGTTGAGATGGGATGGAAGAGCGCAGTCTGCGCTGTGTTGGACAAGTCCCCCGTACTCAGGAGATTCAACGGTCATGTATATGTCAAAGTACTAGGTATAGATCGGCACAGAACCAAGCAACCCTAAGGACTCATTGGCCATTGCGGGATCAGTCGGGCTACAAGTCTATCTCATATGAATGCCGACCGCTTACGCCATCAGGGCAATATGCTTCAGCTCGCTACGCGCCGCCGCGGCCAGGTCAGTTGACATGCCCGGCAAAATCAGAAAGAAAAAAGGCACATACTCCTGAACCAGCTCGCCAACCTTCATTGGCGGATACGTCTTCTCCTCGCCCTCATCCTTCCCCAGGTTGAACTGCTGCGCCCTGATGGCACGGGCCTGCTCCGCCAGGGCGGGGAGGGGCTCCAGATCGTGATCGGACGAGAGGTGCCAGAAGAAGGTGGACGAGATGCGGACGAGGGGCCGGTCGGGCAGGCGAGCGCGGCGGTCGTCGATGACCTCGACCGTCTTGTCATTGACGACGACCTCGTGGAAGCCGGCCTTGATCAGCCCGCCCGTGATGTGCTCGAGCTGCTTGCCGGCCTGGACCAGCAGGTAGTTGCCCGGCGGGATCTTGACGGCGATGCGCTTGCCCGTGTTGCGCGCCCAGATGTGCAGGCCCGGGTAGCGCGACCGGCCGTGGATGGTCAGGAAGTTGAGGTCCGTGTGGAAGCCCGCGAGGATGGTGTCTTTTTCGCCGTACTTGACGAGATCAGACGCTGTGGGCGCCAGGAGGTGTGGCCTGCACACGGTGAGCATTCACTTTCCGGAATCAGGGGCCAACCTCCCGGTTGAACATTCCAGGCTGTCGTACCCGTATTTGCCTGCGTCTTTGAATGTGTCGACTGGGAGGCCCAAACCCACAGCAGTCATCTGCGTAAGGCCCTCCACCCTGCACGACGCCACGGATTAGCATTTCACCGTCTGCTGGCCTGCTGACTGTCAGTGCGACCCACGCATTTTGCATCGACGTCCCCCACTGGTCCATGGCTGGCGCCCAGCGCTCCTTGATGTGCGGCGCCTCAGGGGTGACGTTTCCGGCATTCAGGGATGGGAACTGTGTCTCGTAAGGCGCGTCTTTGCCCATGCGCCAGAAGAACCGGCATTTCGGGTCCGGCGAATGGGCTGTGATGTCGAGCGGCCGTTCCGAGGGCGCCAGCCGCCGAATGACATCCAGACACGGCTCGTCGACGGCGCACTTTGGCTTTTCGGTGTTTTCGAGCGTCACGCCGATCTGGTAGCTGAAGTCGGGCCGCTCGTCCTTGCGGAGCTCGTCCGCGGGCTGCGCAAAGTAGTCCTCGAGCAGGTCCAGGAAGGTCTCGTTCTCCTGCTCCACCACGCGCGAATCGTGCAGCACCAGTGCGCCGTACGAGATCAGCGCGTTGGCTGCCTTGGCGCACTCAGCTTGCACCTCGGCCGAGTCCCGCGCCTGCGTCCGGAAAACATCGAGATCGATGATGGGGAGGTCCATCGAGACTTTTTGAAGCGCGACCATTTTGGGTTGTGAGGCGGGTGTGTGAGTGGTGTGAGTGACTGAATCTGTTTTTTGAGAACGAAAAGTGGGCGTCAAGACGGATGAGTCTATCTCCAGCTAGGTTGGCGGAAAACTGCGGCCTTGTCCATGTGGCGATTGCCGGCCCAAGAGCTGCAATTTTAGTGGCTCTTGTAGTCTCTGTTCTTAGTGCTCAATCAGGTAGGTGGTATCCGTACATGTAGGTTGATGTTTTAGAGGGGGCGCTGTCCCGCTTTCAGGATGTCTTTGATGGACCACCCACTGTAAAACGGCTGGCTCAGCTTTTGACAATCAATCTGATTCTGACCAGCCAAGTTGTGAGACGAACCACTAAGACCGTGCACCCATCAATCGGTCAGCCCACCAATCGGTCAGTCACCCCGCCTCTGCCTGCATACCTAACCCTACCTAATAAAATATCACTTCTTTACTAATACTGGCCTAAATGCAACTATTCTGATCTCTCTGCAATGCTTAGATACAGCTCTTTTTACTACAATGCCTAGATATACTAAGGATGATCTACAGGCTGTAATATCTGCAGTAGAAGCTAGGCTAGCTATCCGCTAGGTAGCTATATAGTTCTCTATCCCTTTTTCCACTTTATAAGGCCGTATCAAGTCAGGGTACTAGCCTAAAGGCGAATTCGAAGCTCTTGCCCTCTAGAAGTTAAGCCCTAGTTAAGAACAACAGTTAGCTAACTAGGTTGTTACGCAAGAGGTCTTAGAAGTCCCTATCTCCTATATATAAATGCGGCTCTTTATAGATCGACTACTTCTTATATCCGGATCGCCTAGCTAGGTAGGGAAACACTGGCTTTCGAAGTTCCTGCGTCGACACCTAGCTATTAAGACTAAGAGGGCTAAGCGAATCGACGTTAAACGACTTAAAGGAGCTTCTACCGAGAATATTATACGATAGTAGCACCGGCTACTTAACCTAGCGATTAAGGATATCCTACCTAACGACCGTATTAATATAGATAAGAATAGGATTATAGAAGGTATAGGTATTAATAGGCTATACCTTAGGAGTTCTAATACTAAGTTTGCCCTTGCAAAACACCTGGAATTACGTATCTAGACTACTATTATTAAAGCGGTTATAGCTATAGGAAGACTTCTACTACTATATGTTATTTTCAAGGGGAACGACCTTTAATAATAGTAGTTCCTAGAGAATCGAACGTTCTTAGAGTCTCTAGGCAATTAGAAGTTTATAATAAGCGAGAACGGATAGACTAGTAATAACTTTGCCTTACACTAGTTGCTTAAGATCTATATTCCTCTCCCCCCTTGTAGTAAGAAGCGGTTATTAATCGTTAATAGCTACAGTAGCTATACTACTAACGAGTTTATATAGTATTACTTCGTTAACAATATCTACATTGTCTATTTACCTCCCTACGCCTCCTACGTCCTCTAACTATTAGATCTTTCCTTTTTTAGCCCCCTAAAAACGGCCTACCGGAAGGCCTTAGCGGACCTTATTCTGCTCTATAGCCTAGTTCCATTTACTAAGCGGGACTTCTTAATAGTATATAACTAAGCTAGGGCTATCGCTAGAACTAGTCGGGTTATATAGGCGGGCTAGTTAACTACTAGTCTATAGCCAATTAATATAGCTAAGCCCCTAAGTAATAGCTTGGTTTTAAAGGCTGACTAGGAGGCTGAAAAACAGCTTACAAGCTAACCTACGTAGCTAGATCCTACAATTTAACAACCTCTATTATCTAGGACTGAATTTCGGAATATCCAGACCCCCTAACGAAGCTAGGAGGTCTATAGACTTCTAGGGGGGTAAGTTAGGGATTTGTAGCAACTTTACCGCGCTAACCCTATTGCCCGGGTGACCTTTTCGAAGATTACAAAGAGCTTAGATATTAAAACACTCGAAATCGTTCAATATAAGCAAAAGATCCAAGCGCTAGAAGCTAAGGTTAAAAGGTTACAGCCTATTAGAAGGAGGAAGGTCCAGATAGATCCTAACGACCGTTTTATAAGCATTGAGCAGGTTATTAAGACGAAGGAAGTAGTTAGGAAGATAATAATGGCCCTATAGGTTGCGAATACCCTCAATTTTAACGACATACTAGTAGAATAGTCTATTTTTAACCTAGTAGTTAATGATAGGGGTTTAGAAGGTTAACTTATATAGAGTGTTAGGGTAGGGCAAATTGATCGATTGCTAGGCTAACCGATTAATAGGTGCACGGTCTTACCCGTTAGCTAATGTAGGGTAATTTTTATCTTAGACTCAGCCTAGCTTTAGGGGGTTAGTAATTAGTATTGTAGTACAGTGGCCAGAACCTACTAATAAGATAATTTGAAATGACCTACTTTAGCTAACCTACCTAGCTGGTCTGAGTCGCGGATCGGCCTCCCTACACAAGCGACGCTCGCGAATGCCGACCTCTTTGCGCCAACGACGATTTTACTACCAAAATAACGTCAAATTAAGTGCGGTTTGTGCTATTCGAATCGCTGCCGTGGCCATCGCTAGCATCCCTGCTGTGGCCGTTGCTGCAGTGGCTATTGCTGCCGTTGCCGTAACTATCGCTGCAGTGGCTAACGCTGCCGTATGTAACGGTCGTATACAACAAGGTTGCACAACAGTGCAACCTTCGTAGGAGCTCGCGAGGGCTAAAGGCTCTATACGGCGAGCTCCACCTAGTGTAGAGCTACGCTCCTCTAGCTACAGGGTACTTAGCTAACCATATAGCATAGTATATAATATAGTATATAACACAGGCTGTGCCTATAATACTACCCTCCCTCTCTAAACAAGCCCCCTATATAAAAATAGCCCCCTATCCTAGGTACTTGTATCCGGAGTTAGAGTTATCTTAGCGCCTACCCTAGCGCTGCGCCTTCCTTCTCTGCGTCTACAATAG